AAAGATAACTTACTCAGTCACAGTCTCATCAAAGTTTAAAGGATGGTGACAGATGGAAGACAGTATCCCGACAAGGAAAAAACAGTCACCCGATGCAGATAGTGGGAGATTAAGTATAAGTAATAGTCTACGTGCTCGTTTGAAGAATTTCCTCCCACGAACAATAGAAGATGCCAGGGAAAGGTGCCTGATATGATGTGATGACACCTGGAACAGATTTTGAGAAGGAGACAAGGAGGAATAAGCCAATCAAATCAGAAACTGAACCCAGTTGGTAAGTGTTGAAGGAGAATGGTCATGAACAGAGGAATGTTGCCAGGGGATGAAAAGTTGAGAATGACAACCACAGAAGGAAGCCATGTGGGCACTGTAACAATGAAAAGCATGTACAGGACATAGAAGTCTATCTGGATCAGATCAGGAATAAAGGTGGGAGGTGGAAGGAATAGAAATCGAGAAGAAGGAAGAATTGCCTTTACAAGCTGCCGAAGTCTTTGGAAGGACAGATTGATAAAGAACAACATATGTGGAATGGTACAGAGTGCATGATATGTTGTCAGCAAATATATCACAAGAACAATGCCAACAGGCTAATGGGAATAAGAAGTAGGTCTTAAGAGACAAGTGAAACAAAGAACAGGCAAAAGGTTTCAACAGAGGTAGAGTAAGGTAGTGAAGAACCACATTGACATCGCAATCTGAAAGGACTGCTTGATGAAGAGGTCTATGAATCCAGAAGGAATGCAACAAAAGGGAGAGGGTAGGGAAGGTAAACACAAAATGGTACAAGAAAAAATTAAAGGTGTGGGATAAGGCTGAATGATATCCAGAGATTGTCGAGACCAAAGACTCATGATTGAACTCCAAGTAAGGAAATCATTAAATATGAGGAACGGTGGGTCAAGAAGGGGGAGAAACCTGGTTCGAAGACCAACAAAGGAGGAAGACATTCCATTAATGTCGATAAACTGCCATTGAGGTAGGGTAAATGGAATGAGCTAAAAATGAAGCAAAACACCAAGACAATCCCAATCTCCTCGCCATGGACCTGATAAATGCCAAGTATGAAGACAGAGGGTAGAATGGTAAGAACGAAATACCAGTCACCGAGGTTGACGTAGAAGGGATGGAGTGAGAGGAAGAGGCAACAAAGGAGCAGTATGGAGTTGAAGTAGTAGAGGAAACCAAGGTTATTCTGGCCAGTAAGGAGCAATTAATAGAACAATGATCATTGATGAGGGAATAAGGAAAGGTAATTGGAGAGTCCAAGGGATCCTGAGCAAAATTCCAATGGTCATGCAGAGTCCACTGAAGAAACAGTATGTGCTCTTAACCCAAGGGGACAAGTGCTTCCAGAAAAGCCCACATCCCCTAGTGCTATAAACCTCACAAGCAGTAAGCGAAGGAGCAGCAAGAGCATAGAGAACTGTAAGCTCCATCAAATGGAGTCAAAGAGGAAAAGATTGGGCCTGACTGAGGTGAGAGTTAAAAAAAATACAAGTAAATAAGATACTGGTTAGAGGACAGGAAAGACTTCTCCAATATGATAATCCAACCTACTCAAGCAGCTTTGGAGAAAAGGAGACAGGTGTGTGATGCGAATAATCCATTTCAGAATCAGCTAACAGAAGCAAGTTGTCCATGTAGTGGTAGAAGCTCAACCCCCCAAGCAAAAAGACACATGGAGCTGAAGCAAGCACAAAAGGGCAAGGCACAAAACTAGTACACAACCCTGTGATGGACAAACCAAAGATAGCAACTGCACCAGGGAGATCAATCACAGGATGCCAGTCACCTGTTTTCTTGGGGACCACAAACAGCCTGAAGTAAAAGCTTAGCTGAGAGGCTCAACAGCTCTCTGTGATAGAAGAGTCTGTACTGTCTCTGACAGACACTGACTGGTAGTAGGATCCTAAGGTAACAGAAAGGAAATGTGTGTGGGAGACAACTGGGGTGGAGAAAGAAACTGGATGACAAGTCCTGAAGAACCCAATGATTGGAAGTGAATTCTCACCAAATCGGTCAAGCAAGCCCCCACTGAACCAAAACCCATTGGATAAACACGACGAAATGTGAATCCCCTAGTCAGAGGAACAAGTAAAGGATGGGAGGGTGTTGGATGTAGAACAAGAACATGGGATTAAAAGGGCCCAGGGTGAGACAAACGATGTACAAAGGACAAAGGGGTCGAATGTTGTTTCACAGATTCCACACATGATTCCAAAGTTTCAGGAATATTCCAAAAAATGGACCATTGAAGAAAAGAAGCCATCTGTCAGTCCAGAAGGCAAGTGGACAATAAAAGAACCTGGAACAAGACAGTGTCCCTCCCCAGAAGATCCCAACAACAAAGAAACCAAGTGTGATGAGATAGAGCTGAGGAGGACAATTATGACAATGTAGAAGTAAGGGGAGAAGTTAACTCCTGAAAATCCCTCAGGAGATTGATGGAGTGCCTCAGAAAGAAGGCACATAATGGACAAGTACTGTGTAAATGTAAGACAAAGGTGGGAAAAAATTGGCCTGGGATAAACAGACAGGTCAGCTGCCCATACTTGCAATAGTGATTCCATCAGCTGAGAATCAAGAAAGGGGTAATCTGCCTGATGGTAAGCCAAGGTAAATTAAATCCAAGACATGCTAGCACCAGCTTGCAACGAAGAAACAAAATGCTCCACATGAACCTTGACATCAGGAGGAGGAGGGAAAATAAAATACTGGGAGGAAGGGGAGTCATGTCATAAGAAACTGAATTTTAAGAAATTAGGGAATTGGATAAAAGAGAACACACTTGAGAAATGTCTAAAAAGGCTGAATTAATACTAGAAGATTCTGTGGGAAGGCACAGCATAATCGAAAGGAGGTAAAAAGCTGTCAGATTCTCATTGTCATGAACAGCTTCAGAAGGTTTAGGAGGAAGTACAGCACTATCAGGAGAAGAAGGTCGACTTAGATAATGTTCAATCTCCTGATGAAGTAAGGCTGAAAATTCCTCAGTCAAGTTCCCCCTACCTGAAGCCTGTGTAATTGTGCTGATAGCAGGTGGTAGAACCTCCAAAGTGGTATACATCATAAAATGATGAAAATTTGAAAATTATGCAAATAAACAATAAAAATAACCAAGGCAAGTATCACTGAAAACTTTAAAAAGTAAAACAGTTGTAAAAGAAATAAATGATTTTTTACACTTTGCAAGAAAAAATTAAAAAAACGTGTGGTGTGTGCACAATAAAAAAATGTCTTGTTTATAGCACTGTATAACAAGAAGTGATAATTTGGTAAAATGAAATAGAGCAGTGGTGCTTAACCTTTGTTGCTCCATGCCCCACCTCGACACATCAAAAAATCTGATGCCCCTTAATATAAAAACAAATTTGGTGTTGAAAGGGTATAATAATATAATGTAAAAATTTTCTTATTGTAGCATTTTCAAATTGCCCCCCTGTGGGGCGTGCACCCCATGTTCAGAATCACTGAAATAGAGGGAGTCACATGCACTGGTGGAGGGTTGTCACATGATAATTTGCATGTGAGACGCAGTTGAACCAAGATAATCGTGGGGTACATAGGAGTGCAAGGCTTATGGCACGCAATACAATTTTGCATATAGAGGGGAAACACAGAGAGAGAATAGCTAAACATGTGAGAATAGGTAATGTACCATATTGGAAAAGTGACTTCTCCCCTGAAAATTATTAAGTGAATCAGTATAATGACAAGTCATTAACTATAGCTCTTTGTGTAGAATAAATGAATTTTTGTTTTTATTTTTTATGAGTATTACAAGGAAGAAAATATAATAACTAGTTAAATTGATATATATATATATATATATATATATACATTATTTACTTTAGTAACTATTTTCTTGTTATTACTATCTAGTTTATTTTTTACGTTAGTTTAAGTAAGGT